TTTTTTTTTTTTTTTTTTTTTTTTTTTTTTTTTTAATATATTTTATTGTGTTTTTTACAGAGAGGAAGGGAGAGAGATAGAGAGTTAGAAACATCGATGAGAGAGAAACATCGATCAGCCGCCTCCTGCACATCTCCTACTGGGGATATGCCCGCAACCCAAGTACATGCCCTTGACCGGAATCGAACCTGGGACCTTTCAGTCCGCAGGCCGACGCTCTATCCACTGAGCCAAACCGGTTTCGGCAACTTATTGTTTTGTTAATCCTCACCTGAGAATATTTTTCCATTGAGTTTTAGAGTAGAAGGCGGGAGGGGGGGGCGAAGAGAGAGAGAGAGAGAGAGAGAGAGAGAGAGAGAGAGAGAGAAAGAAAGAAAGAAAGAAAAGAAAGAAAGAAAGAAAGAAAGAAAGAGAGAGAGAGGGAAAGAAAGAAACATCAATGTGAGAGAGACACATCGATTGGTTGCCTCCTGCATGCGCCCTGACCAGGGCAGGGGAATGCATCTGCAACCAAGGTACATGCCCTTGACCAGAATCAAATTTGGGACCCTTCAGTCCAAGGGCCAATGCTCTATACACTGAGTCAGACCGGCCAGGGCTGATTTTAAAAATTGTGATAAAGATACATAATACAATTTTAAAATTTTATCATTTGTAAGTTTATAATTAATTGGTATTGATTACATTAAAAATGCTGTGTACCCCTCACCACTCTCTATCCCCAAAACATTTCATTGACCCCAGTATAAACTCTGTACCATTAAACCAAAACTCGCCTGCCACTCTTCCTCATCCCCAAGCCCCTGGCAACCACCATTCTCCATTATGAATTTGCCTATTCTAAGTACCTCATAAGTGGAAATCTACAGTATATGTCTTTCTGTGTCTGGATTATTTCACTTAGCATGATATTTTCAAAGTTGGTCCATGTTGTAGCTTGTGCCAGACTTTTAGTCCTTTTTATGGCTGAATAATATTCCATTGTATAGATAAGACCACCTTGTGTTTATCCATTCACCTACCATTGGGCACTTAGGTTGACGGACACCTTTTGGCTGTTGTGAATAGGGCTGCTGTGACATTGTGGATAACTAAGTTTTGTTTTTATGTTATTTTTCAATTACAGCTTACATTCAGTATCTATAATAATAAAAGCGTAATATGCTAATTAGACCAGACATCCTTCCGGACGACCTTCCGGACGAAGCCGGGGCTGGGAGGGAAGCCCGGGTCCCGGGTGCCAGAGGGAAGCCAGTGCTGGCAGCTGGGGGAAGGAAGGCCTATTCTTGCATGAATTTCATGCATTGGGCCTCTAGTTATGTTATATTAGTCTCAGGTGCATCTGTGGATAACTAAATGTTAACCAGTGTGTGTTGAGGAATATGGTTAGCTTTATACGATCCCATCTTCAGCCGACTGCCCGCAGGGGAAGCGCTGGGGAATGGTCATGTTATTTTTTGCTTAATCGCTCCTCAGTTGTTTGGTCTTGTTTTGCTTACCTTATGAGCTGAGAATCGCATTCCTTACCTTTATTTCTAGAACTTGATTCTGTATAATTGAACACTATTGAATCTAAGTTTATTTCACCGCTTGGAGCTCTGCTAACCTTCTTCTTAAACTGACATCTCCACATGTTGCTTCTTCCCTTGCTCTGAGCACACTATTCAGTGTCAGCAGTGCAGCCGCACTGCACCGAGCCCACCCACCGCCCCTTCCTGGCCGTGCTGCCTGGCGCACACCCCCAGCCTCTCCAGGACTCCCTCTCCCTGTGCATCAGCTGGAGCTCAGCAGCAAGGTCTCAGCTAGAGGAGGCAGGATATAAAGAAATGTATGTGCGTCTCTCTTTAAAATTAACCACCACAGTCTGAGCACATGGTGCTGCAGTGTGCCTAGCCCTGCTTACGGACGGTGTTTGTTGTCTGCCATGAGAAGTGCTGTTTTATCCTATTTCCCTAACAAGGAAACTGAGACTTGGGTACTTATGGTCCCTCCGCTAGTGAAGGGGCAGGGCCAGGTTGGAGGCCCAGACGGACGGACGAGGCTGGCGCCCTTGTCCTTGACCACCCCCCACCTCAGACGCCTGCCTCCTTCTCAGGGCTGTCTCAGTCCTCACACGAATAACCCTGGAGAACACCTGTTGCTCCCAGGTTGCCCTGATGGATGCTTCTCGCCCCTTTTTAAATGCAAATGTCTTCAGGGCCTCCCTTTGATCGCTGTCTTTAGAATTTTGAGTCTTCCAAACCATTCCCTCCATTTCTTGGTGCCTCAGAAACTGTTTTGTCATTACTACTGTAGCATGATAGTCCTGCCCCTCGTATACCTGCTGGAAAACTTCCATTTCCTTGTGGTTTCTGTGAACTTGGGGTGATTAGCCTCGTGAGTTCTGCATCAACCCTGGTCAGGTGTGGGAACAATAGCTCTGACCTCAGGTCCAGTGTGGTGGTGTCTTTGTTTTTTGTTTTAAATGTATTTTGATTGATTTCAGAGAGGAAGGGGGAGGGAGAGAGAGATAGAAACATCAGTGATAAGAAAGAAACATGATTGGCTGCCCACAACCTGGGCATGTGCCGTGACCTGGAATTGAACCATGACCTTCTGGTTCATAGGGTGCCCTCCCTGACCGTGTGTGAGATGTTCTGTCAGACAGGTGTGAACTCCTTCAGGTCAGCGGCCACCTCCCGTTCACCTTGTAAACCTGCCGGCAACTGCCACGTCCTCCTCAAGGGCACTGAGCTGGCCATTTGCACTGGTTTGCATTGTTTCCTCTAGAAAAAAGATAACATAAAAGTCTCCATGTAACTGAAATTCCTCCCGATGTAGAAAACTTTGTCTTCTACCAAAAGAAAGAGAAACCCTTAGGGTCGCTGCTACTGTACCGAGTTTTGGTGAATAAAAGCGAATCCAGCCCACGGTGGGGGTGTTCCCTGGTGAGCATCCTCTTAGGTTCTCAGAAGAACTGGCCTGCAAGTCCTCTCACCGGAGAAGGCGAGGAGCAGCCGAAGAGGCCTGCTCTGCCTGTTCTGCTGGGTCAGCTGGGCAAGCCCGTGTTAAATCTTATCAAAAGAAAGAAATAAAAAAATGTTACCCAGAGTGAGTGTTTACCTTGGAGTGTATTCAGATGTTTACAGCCCCACCCTTTGCCCACCGGAGCCCAGGTTGGCCGGGAGCAGACTCCTGGTGGAGGGAGGTGCACCTGTTCCACGTATGACCAGGAGTGGTCTGTTTCGGTGAAGCTGCCCCAAGTTGTCATTTGGTATTTTCAAGGACAGTTACCACGTCCTGAGAGACAGTGTGAAGTGGTGGAGCAGAGGGCCTGCTCTGAGTGATCCATGGTCAAGGTGACTCTGACCTTGGCTATGCTGCTTGTCTTCTCTTAGTCTCCGTTTTCACGTTTGTAACATGGAAATTGTAGAAATTGTAACTCGCCCCCCCTCCATCCTGGTGTCCTGGTGAAGAGGAAATAAGCGAGTACATGGGAAATGTGTGTATGTTGGGATTGCCCAGCTGGGCAAATAGCACTTGGTATTGTCATCTACTCACGGCCAAGGAGGCAGTCTCGGATACCAGTCCTGACGGCCCACGAGGGCTGTCCGACAGGAGATGTCAGACTCGGAGCAGACTTAGGCCCTGGGGAGTTCCCAGGTGGGCTTTATTGAAAGAAGTATGTTCAAAGCCATTGAGGAAATCCAAGTGAGATTGAAAATCTGGCTCCTAGAATTCCAAGGGCTTTTAAACACTAATTCCTTGAGAATGACTGAGAGCTCCAATGAACTAGACATATTTTAATCGCCTTTGTAATGTTTTATTATTTTTTAAGTGACAACTTAGGCTTCCAGGTAATATAAACCAGAAGGAATAAAAAATGGTTAATATTCCTTAAGGGAGAAGCTGAAGACCCATGCCCAATCGCCATCTTCCTTTCTCAGAAGCAAAGTTCTATAATCTGCAAAACCTGACATTCCATATTGAGGGTTTATTGTAAGGTAGTAAAACCAGATTTTATATCGTGTGTATTCCTACAACTTCTGATGTGCTTCCAAAAATGGCATTAAGGCAGCAGCTGAGGAAATTTTATGAGATAATGAAGCAGAACAGTTACTGAAAGCCATCTGCTCAGTTGTTTACAAACTTGCTTCAATACTTCAGAGGCAGTGGTAGGGTACGTGTCTAAACTTCACAAGCTGCACTAGGTAGGACGAAGTGAAGTGCGCCTGGGCTGGGCTGAGCTCGGTCCCTCTCTGTGCAGTGTGAACGGTTGCCAGGCAGGCCTGTTGGAAGCCAGCAGAAAGCACCACACAGAGGTGATTATGTGCCACCATCTGTCACGCTTCAAGCCTACCATACAGCATGGCTAATCAGCCTTGGCAGGATGATGGATGAACAGCAGCAGCTGCCAAAAGCCACTGTTGGCAAACAGTCCTGAAGTTAAGAACTTTTTCCCCCCTCTGTCTTCCTCTCCAGGGTCCTGCTGCGTGTCCGCATGCTGTACTACCTACGACAAGAAGTGATAGGAGACCAGGCAGATAAGATCTTAGAGGGTGCTGACTCAAGGTTCGTGCTCGTACGCATGGGTTCTCTGCCCCCCTGCCATCATCTGGGTAGTCGGAACACATCATGGATCGTGTTTCAAAACCTTCATAAACCACGAGAAGCACACGTCCTGTTTTGCATCTCGAATGTAGTGTTTGTCCTATGAGCTTGGGGACGTGGTGAAAATCGGGGAAAGCCTGTGCGTGTGTGCGTGTGTGCATGTGTGTGTGTGTGTGTAAAGGGGTGTGAACTAAATTACAGGAGTTCTGACACGACCTTTAAAATGGGACGCTGGTGCTAGCATTCATTTCTGCTCAAGGTGGAAAGCGACTGACTTATGCCCTTTGCTTTAACCTTTGCTCACTCCTCTCCGTGACACCCAGGTGCTCATTGTGGGAAGGGGGCACATGAACGCGGGCACTTGGTCAAATTACTTAGAGATTTTTAAAATATTGGTGTTTGTTTTAAATATCACACAAATGGTTGTCTTTACAGTGACGCTGATGTGTGGATACCCGAGCCTTTCCACGCCGAGGTCCCCACAGATTGGTGGGATAAGGAGGCGGATAAGTCCCTCCTAATTGGGGTGTTCAAACATGGTGAGTGACGTGTCCGCTTGACCACATCTTGACCGCGTGGCCTTCTCTCTGTTTAGAGCTCGTTGCATCCTCTCTCCCAGAGTCATAATATTAACAAGGATAGTTCCAAAGGACTCTTGGCATCGACCACTTTCCTGCACTAAAAATCTAATATGAACTGTAAATATCAGATGCTGTTTTTGAATGTTTGTTGAGTGTTTGAGAAGAAAACATTTCTTTCTTGGCTGTAAATAAAACCCAAACCATATTTGTTTTAAGAATAGCCCAACTGTCCTGGAGCCCTCCCGAAACTTTGCTCCCAGCACGGCTCCCGCGCCGACTCTGCCAGCCCGTGTCAGAGTGGACGGCGGGCTTAACCTCTGCTATTAATCTGTACAAGTGCCTCCTGGGCTTTGTTCCAAGCAATATTTCACAAATGTCAGTGCTGAGAACTCCCGGCTCCCCCGAGTGGGATGCAGCCTTGTTAACTTTGAAAGGCTGGGGATGCAGAACTGGCATGATATATACAGTGAGCGATTCCTGATTATAATCCCAACTCTCTGGAGGTCGCCGAGGTAGTCTCGGCAGCCCGGCCTGACTAAAGGGGAGAATGATGGCTTATAAAACCTTCCGTGATTGTAGTTTGGCTTGCGGCTCTACAGCAGTTAGGGGCGACGGGTTGTAGTACACATCCTAATTGAATTGTGCTGTTCTGCCTATGTGCGCGGCCCTGTTCTGTGAGCTCAGCCTAAAAACCATTTCCCCACACGGCACTGTTGGGATCTGCCATTTCCCATCTAGTCAGCGTGGGCAGTCGAAGAGCAAATTGCAGTTTGAAAGCCATAGAGGGAACAGTGTCATCTTACTGACATGCATCATCCCAAACCCAATAAGACAGGTTCGCTGGCCTGACGTAGTGGGTTTTCAGCTGGCGGTGGAAGGTCCCGCAAAACCAAGGCTGCTCACGAGGAGGATGGGGTGGACGTGGCCTACCTCTGCGGAGATCATAGAGGAAACGTTACGAAGTCTTTTAAATGTCAAGCAAAATTAGGTCTTGGGGAAAACAGGGCCAGAAATCTTCCCAGGCATCTCCCAGTTATGGTGGAACCTGTTTTCCTTAGTATGTGTGGTCATTCTGATAACGTCCCTGGAATGTAACTTGGCCCCCCCAAATCTGCCCTGGAATTGAGTGGTCCAACCGCTAAATCAGGGTTCTTTTAAGTACAAGGAATGAAGCCCGCGCGTTGTGGTGGTGCTGTGATTCTGTTCGTGACGGGCCTTTCATTGTCTCTGTGTGTGTCCTCCGGGCTGGTGGGGATGGCACAGGCTACGAGAAGTACAACTCCATGCGCGCGGACCCCGCACTGTGCTTCCTGGAACGAGTGGGTATGCCCGATGCCAAGGCCATCGCTGCCGAGCAGAGAGGAACAGACATGCTAGCAGATGGCGGTGACGGGTAAGAAGGACATTTTAAAATTTTAATAAACTTTACATTCGTGTTGCATCTATTGGCAGCGTTCAGTTCTTCCACTGCCACTGCACAGTGTACTATGTTGCGTCTGATTTGAACTAAGTGATGTTTACCAGTATAGTCTGGGTACATGTCATCATGATTATTTAAACATGATACAGTATCTAGATAATCTGAAACTTGTTTGTCTTTTTCAAATGACGACACCCCCACCCTTCCCTCCAGCCATCCCACACCCCCTCCCTCCACGGCTGCCTGTTTTAAATACTGATAGAATGACTTTTGTTATTGAACCCAGAAGTAAAAGTTGCATTAGGCAGTCTCTTCCTATCAGTATGATTTAAGCATTTTAAAAAATTTTTTACATAGGGGAGAATTTGATAGAGAAGATGAAGACCCGGAATATAAACCAACCCGAACGCCATTCAAGGATGAAATAGATGTAAGAATTTGAGTATATTGACTTTATAGCACCAGTAAAATATTATGTGCCCATATACGGCTTGTTAATTTTCTTTAGAAAATAAAGCAAAATGGAACCCAGATTAAAATAATTTCGTTTCTCCCGTTGCTTTCAAGGAATTTGCCAATTCTCCTCCCGAAGAGAAGGAAGAATCTGTGGAACTACGCACCACAGGTACGGCTCCATCGGCGCTGGTGCAGCGGAGTCGGGGTGCGCGTGTCAGCGACCTCTGGGCTTTGGGGTGGTGGATCTCAAAGCGTTATCTCGTCTACACTGACTCCTCTCTATTGGGAATAATTTAAATTCTTGTTTAGTGTTGGTTTTGCATTATGTTGCATTTCTTTGATAAAATAACTATTTTTTGGATTAAGAGAATCTATTCATTTGCTTTATACCAGTTAGTGAAAACTTTTTAAGCATTTTTAGAAATATACCTCTTAAAAAAAGAAAGAAATATATCTCTTGAAAATTGGGCATGTGCCAAGTGTCTGAAATAGTGCCGGTTTACAGAAAATACCGACCTTTTGCGTAATGTAAAATCATTAGCTAACAATTAATGTGATTTTTTTTAAGCTCAAGATTATCACATTACATGAGAACACCCTTATAATGTAGTTCATGACATAAAGTATTTCTTTATGTAAGATTGATTTAAAAAAGGAATGGTTTGTAAGTTCCATACTAATATTATTCTTTATTAACATTCTCAAAATGAGGGCACTCTGATGCCTTTTCCCACACTGTCATTTGAATGTTAATGAGCCACTTTGTTGTGATGGGAAATCCTGGGTATTGCAAGATTGCAGCTGCACATTTCAAAAAAATATTTTTCCCACTTCCCCAGGCAAGCACAGTGAGAGCAATGCTGAGTTAGGCCAACTTGACTGGCCTAACACCTCAACCCTGACCACCCGTCTGCGCCGGCTCATCACTGCCTATCAGCGCAGCTATAAGAGGCAGCAGCTGCGGCAGGAGGCCCTGACGAAGACCGACCGGCGGAGGCGGCGGCCTCGGGAGGAAGTGAGAGCACTGGAAGCGGAAAGGGAAGCTATAATCTCTGAGAAACGGCAAAAGTGAGTTTTTTCCAGGGTTTTACTCTCAACTCCTGGTACATTCCTCTCTGCGCTGCTCTTTTAGGCCTGCAAGAGGCAGGAATCACATGGGAGACAATGACCATCGGAGCAGTCTGCCTCCAGTCCCCAAAATAAGTACCGTGTGTTAAGGTTGGGGCAAAAGAGGAAAAGAGAGAATATGCTGGAAGCCTTTTCACTCAGTACAATGCAAGCCAATGTCTTCTTTTCTGACAGGTGGACGAGAAGAGAAGAGGCTGACTTTTACCGCGTGGTATCCACTTTTGGGGTTATTTTTGACCCCATGAAACAGCAGTTTGATTGGAACCAGTTTCGAGCCTTTGCCAGACTGGACAAAAAGTCTGATGAAAGCCTGGAGAAATACTTCAGTTGCTTTGTGGCCATGTGTAGGCGCGTGTGTCGAATGCCCACCAAGCCAGATGATGGTAGGTCCATTGATAACAAAAAAGTTCTATACTAACAGGCCATTAAAATGAAAGATAAGAGAGTGAACAATTGAAGGCCTGCTTTGGTTTTGTCCCAAGTAAATACGATTTTTTTATGTTTTCAGAACCTCCAGACCTCGCCATGATCGAGCCCATCACAGAAGAGCGTGCCTCTAGAACTCTCTACCGCATCGAACTGCTCCGGAAAATTCGTGAGCAGGTTCTCCATCACCCTCAACTGGGGGAGAGGCTGAAGCTCTGCCAGCCAAGCCTGGACCTGCCGGAGTGGTGGGAGTGCGGGCGGCACGACCGGGACTTGCTGGTGGGCGCCGCTAAACATGGGGTCAGTCGGACAGACTATCACATCCTCAACGACCCCGAGCTGTCCTTCTTGGATGCGCACAAAAACTTCGCGCAGAACAGAGGGCCTGGCAATATGTCGGCCTTGAACCCACTGGCAGTGGGATTTGGCCAGACTCCGGCAGTCGTCTCGTCCGCTCATACTCAGGAGGAAAAGGGGACAGGACAGACGGAGGGCAAAGGGGAGGAGCCTGAACACGCGGCCACCCAAGAGAAACCTGCCACGAAAGCGGAGGAGGAGGAACCCGAGGGCGGGGACGAGGACCATAAGGAGGACTGTGCTGCCGAGGCCAGCTCTGTCAAACAGGAGCTGAAAGGCATGGAGGTCGGCGCAGATTCAGGGCCCAAGTCAATTTCCGAGAAAGGTTCGGAAGAGGACGAGGAAGAAAAGCTGGAGGATGATGACAAGTCGGAAGAATCTTCCCAGCCTGAAGGTAATGCCTGGCCCCCGGCCCCTCCTTCCGCACCGCAGTGGCGACATGCCGAGTTTTCATGCCACTGACAAAAGCTCTTTTTTGTTTCTTAAGTGCACATTTCTTCTGTGAAGGGATAATTTTAGGTTATGTTTACTTGTATGTTCTGCTCTAATAAGACACGGAAACATGATATTTCGAACAAGTTGAACTCTCAGGAGAGGTTTATGAACACAGAATTTCTGGATTAAGGATAACGGTTAACTTTATAGTAGCGGTGTATTAAAAATCCCAAATGATTTTATTTGTTTAATCCTCACCAGAGGACAGAGAGACACAGACAGAGAGACAGAGGTAGACATCAATATACGAGAGAAACATTGCTCAGTTGTCTTCCATACATGCCCCGACAGGATTGAGCCCACAACCCAGGCTATGTGCCCTGGCCAGGAATCAGACCGGCAGCCTTTCGGTGCATGGGGTGATGTTCCAACCAGCTGACCACTCCGGCTGGGCCCAAGTGATGTGAATTTTGACAATTAAATGTGTGGGAGAAGATTCCTTCGCTGAGTAAATATTGAGTTATTTTAAAACAAATAATGCTTAATTGATACAGTTTTAATTCAGAAGTAACGGGTAGGAGTGGAATCTAAAAATAACCGGTGTCCTTTGTAAGTCACAAAGTCAGGCATGTTGTACAGTTCTGCTGCAGCTGGAACTTAGAACTTAGCGGACAGGTTAGCACCTTTTCCCGTGTGGGGGACATGGGTTCTTGAGTCAGTCTTGGTTGTCCTTCAGCCTCCTCTGAGATGCACTTGCACAGCATCAGGTGACTAGCAACGTGACCTCCCTAAGCTACTCTGCTGCTTCGTCTGGAAGATGGGAATGGGCATGTCCATGCCAGGCCTGGTGCAGGCTTTACACAGAAAGATCTGTAAAACGCCCCAGACCCTCCTGGCCATAGTGTAGGACTCAGTAAAACGGAGCGGATCGGCATTCCATTTTTTCCACCGTGTCCTTTCTAAACTTCTTTTTCCGTGATATTCTGGTTGTGAGTCATGCACATGAACTCATTTCTCAGCAGGAGCTGTCTCTAGGGGGAAGCATTTTGATGAAGAAAGCAATGCTTCTATGAGCACTGCCAGGGATGAGACCCGAGATGGGTTCTACATGGAGGACGGGGACCCGTCGGTAGCTCAGCTCCTTCATGAAAGAACATTTGCCTTCTCATTTTGGCCTAAGGTTGGTGGGTTAATTTTTGTTTTTGTTTTGTTTTGTTTTGTTTTGTTGACCCAAAGAGTGGGTGGAAGAAATTGTTCGAGCTTGGTTTTTCAAATAATTTTAAGGTAAACGTTACACAATGTCTGAAGACTGTAGATGTTTCTCATGGTTTAAAGAATGATCTGGGAAATCCCAAAGGGGGAAAAAAAATCAGTAAAATACTTTTGTAATAGGATGGAAAGGTGACATGAAGGGAGGATAATAAGAAATAGAACCGTTTATATGGACCTTTAGCTCCTTGTGGTTTTTAGGGTGGTAATCTTGTACTATCCTGTATATGGATTATTGTTTCAACAGACTAACCCTTTGGTGATAGAAAATATATGACCTTTTCAAAATTTTTGTTATTTGGCTAAAAAAACACATAACGTCAAATTTATGATCTTAACCAATTTTAGGTGTGTAGATCGGTAGTCTTCAGTCTATTCATATTGTTGTGAAGTGGCTCTCCAGAACATTTTTATCTTGCGTGACTGAGACTTTATACCCATTAAATAGCTCCTTCCTGTACTCCCTGGCAACCACAATTCTACTGTTTGTTTTGGTGAATGTGACTACTTTGGTTGCCTCATGTAAGTGCAGTCATATAATATTCGTCCTTTTGTGATTGGTTTATTTTACTTAACAGAATGTCCTCAGGGTTTATCCATGTGACCGGGTTTCCTTCCTTTTTAGGGCTGAATAATATTCCATTTTAGATATACAGTCTATATTTTTTACCCAGCCACCCGTCATTGGGACATGTGGGTTCCTTATGCCCCGTGGCTCATTGTAGTGCTCCTTGAGCATGAGTGCATTAATATCTCTTTGAGATCCTGCTTCCAGTTCTTCTGTTCTGGATATGCACTCAGAAGTGGGATTGCTGGTCACACGGTAGCTCTAGATTTGATTTTTTGAGGAACCTCTGTACTGTTTTCTGTAGTGATTACACCATTTACAATCCCACCAACAATGCACAAAGGGAAATGTGTGAACTTTTAAAACTAGGTTTCAATTTTTTTTTCTTGTCTAAAGTAGAACTTTCAGATTTGAGACAAGTTTCATATATTTGGAAAGCTACTCTTCTTCACTCAGGAGAAGGTGGGCTGTTAACCCATTTGGTCCAGTATATTATGTGTTAATTCCAAATGTGGTTATCTAGAACCAAAAACAAAGTGGAAATTACTTTTTTTTTTTTTTTTTTGGCTGACTAGCATAATTTTATAATAAATCCCTATGTAATTTGGGTCTGTTTTTAAGGGTGGGGAAATAATTATCCTAATTACCATAACAGGGCTGTCTGGTTTAAAACAACACAAAAAACAGCTTCAGTCGACTCATCCCTAGGCTGGCCTTCGTACTGTGAGTTGCGTAAGAAATGATGTGAAATTTTTAACTGAAAAGTGTCCTATCACAGACATCTTTTTCTCTCCATGCCCTCTCACTTCCCCCGCTGTGCTAGTCTCCCTTACCGGGTACGGAAGGGAGTTCCCTGGATCAGACAGGTCTATGGTAGCAGGCAGGCACGTTTAATCTATGGAAACTGGGTCTAAGCTGTAATTAGAAATTTTTAATGTACACGCTTCAGTGAAATTTGAAGTAATAATAGGTGGGGGATGCAAATTGACATTCATTAGGTGTTCCTGGGTTGTGCCCATTTTGTAATGCTGAACTTTATTAATAGTGACGCTAATGATGTCCCACCGCCCGGGACAGACTATGATCCTGCCTGGCTCTGAAGCTACGGGCAGGGTTCTGTTGTTACCTGCTGACATGCACCCACCATTCTTTAGCTTGAGTAAAAGTTACTTTTAAAATACGGGGGGCATTTCAGAAGTGGTGGCCATGCAGTGTTTGCTAACTTATGTGGTTCTGTGTTCATAGTCGCAGAACATTAGGTTTTCTGTCCTGGAGCCACCTGAGTACCTTCCACCATGGCCAGGCAGTCTGGGTGGAATTTGTTTATCTGCTTGCTTGTTTATCTTTTATTTTCTTTGACATTTTCCCCGCCAATTGACTTGTAAATCTTTCATACTCTTTAGCGTCTTGATAGAAATATTTACGTGGTAATTTTGACCAGGTCTTTCTTGCAATGTCATGCGACTTCTCCTTTCCTTCCAGGATCGAGTAATGATAAACCGATTAGACAATATCTGTGAAGCGGTGTTGAAAGGCAAATGGCCAGTAAATCGGCGCCAGATGTTTGATTTCCAGGGCCTCCTCCCCGGCTACACGCCGCCCACCGTGGACAGCCCCCTGCAGAAGCGGAGCTTTGCGGAGCTCTCCGCAGTCGGCCAGGCCAGCGTCAGCGGGAGCGAGGACCTTACCACTTCTCCCCAGTTGTCAAAGGTAGGTCAGCGCGATTTGTTTTTGCAGTTTCAAGTTCAGCTCTAAATCTCCTCTCAGTTTGGAAGCTTGTGTTTCACTGGTCCTACTTAGAAATATGGCTGCTGTTTCCTCAGCTTGTTGCACAGTCAGGAATGTTTAATTCCTTACGCTTCATACACACACACACACACACCACACACATTTTATTGATTTCAGAGAGGAAGGGAGAGGGAGAGAGAGATAGAAACATCAATGATGAGAGACAATCATTGACTGGCTGCCTCCTGCATGCCCCACACTGGGAATTGAGCCTGCAACTTGGGCATGTGCCCTGGCTGGGAATTGAACCCTGACCTGCGGGTCATAGGTTAACGCTCAACCAGTGAGCCACTCTGGCCAGGCTTTAAGCTTGCTGTTCTTTAGTTGTGGAAGCCGGCTCATGGAGCACAGACCGTTTGGGGTCATTGTTTCATTGGCATTTTTCAACAGGAAGATGCTCTCAATCTCGCTGTCCCTCGCCAGCGGAGGAGGAGGAGGAGGAAAATTGAAATCGAGGCCGAAAGAGCTGCCAAGCGGAGAAACCTCATGGAGATGGTGGCCCAGCTTCGGGAGTCTCAGGTGGTCTCAGAAAATGGACAAGAAAAAGTTGTAGATTTATCGAAGGCCTCCAGAGAGGCAACAAGCTCTACCTCAAATTTTTCATCTCTTACTTCAAAGTTTATCTTGCCTAACGTCTCAACGCCAGTGTCCGATGCCTTTAAGACTCAGATGGAGCTGCTGCAGGTGGGCCTGTCACGCACGCCCACGAGGCACCTGCTCAACGGCTCCCTCGTGGATGGGGAGCCCCCCATGAAGAGGAGGCGGGGGAGGAGGAAAAACGTGGAGGGCCTCGATCTGCTTTTCATGAGCCACAAACGGACGTCACTGAGTGCAGTAAGTGCAGGAGCCCACTCCGTTGTCTGTGCCCACGTGACAGCCAGGGCCCCCGCACTGCCCATAGCGCTGGCCCGCATTCCTCTCCGAGATGCAGTGTTAAAGCTGGCTTCTTCCACCAGGGAAATAGAATTACAATGAGCAGAGCCGTGGTTCTGAGCGGGCGTTGCGTTGAGCAGTGATGCAGGTCACCCAGCCTGAACCAGGTGTGGCTGGAAGGTTTATTCTTCCCAAGACTCTGCTATACTGGCTACTCTCAGGAGACCAGCCCAAACAGAAACATGGTCTTCGGAGCCTGATGTTGTCATCTCTGAATTCTTGAGGCGGAAAAGCTTTTGCTCTCAAAAATACTGATATTTGGGGGGCCTGGCACTTATTAGATTAGTATACATGTTTATATTCTGACTCGAAGTTTGTATTCATATACAAAGTTAGGGATCGCAAGTCTCCTAAAAATCTTAACTGCCTAATGATCTGTGCTTGTTTAGGTTCGAAGGAAATACATGTGATTTTTACTTTTTTTTTTTTCAATTCAAAGGAAACAAGGGCAGTGTAATCAAAATTCTCTTCCCTAATCTGTGTCACCCACGCCACCTAAAAATGTGCTGCCTGAAAATGACGAGGGTTTAATTACCCCAGGTGCTTGATTCCATGCGGCTTCTTTTTAAATGCTGATTAGTACTAGGTATCTTCTGCCTGTTGATTTGAAACCTGAATCAAATAGTGGCGCTCCTTGTCTGTGCACAAGAGCCTGGGTGCCAGGGACCTGGGACCCTTGCCCCCGGGCAGTGGGACAGTTTGGTAAATACTGCAGTTTGAAAGTGAGGGAAGCAGTTGTTGATTTTAATGTTTTTTTTCTCATACTATTCCATCCCTGTAATTGTTTGTCCATTTTCTATTTCTTCAACCTAGAGAAAGCTTAGTAACTTAGAAGGGTAGGAAAAGGCATGGTTGAATTAAAGTCTAGAAATTGCAAAATAGCTTTTACTGGAATTTACCCCCTGGTGAGGTCTGAGTAAAACAGAAACATCCAGGTGGTTAAAGTTAATTTTCAAAATTTATGATCAGTGTGCCAGTTGCAATAATGGTCATTTTTGTTGAGCATATGGTTCTTTTAGAAGCTTGTGAAAATATGTCTTGTAGTGGATCAGCTGTGGCTGATGGTTCCAGAAGATGAAATGCCGTTTCTAGGTGTGTGCTCCCCAACGTTGTATCTCTAGTGATTGACCTTCCTGCTTAAAACCACCCTGTTAACACTTTGACAGGTTGTGTTTACCGAAAATCCCTTCTTTGTCAACATCAGCAAATTGAGGGGTTTCTGTAGCCCACACTTCTTTCCATTTACTCTTGTGTTTAATATTTAAATCATGGCACATACAGGAATTAACAGTCATTGCAACCAGTGCTACTTCCCTATTGTAATTATATACCTATAAACTTAAGGCTGATTTTATTCATTTCATATATCCTAAGTTGTGCCTAAGAATTTATTGATATTTTTATTTTTCTAAAGTTAGATTTAGCTCAGAATTCCCAATAGATCTTAGAGAATATTCTGTAAAAAAAAAAAAATTACTACTATTATTTTTTTTACTGTTGTTTTGGGGTTGTGGAGGGTTATGCATTGTGTCAGCACTCAAACCGGAGACCATAAAAAGTCAGGTGCAGCCACCATGCATTCAGCAACATTGTGGGAGCTGGCCCAGCCGCTGCACCACACACCGGGGTGCAAGAGTAAAGGCCTGACAGGAGCTTGCTTGCACTAGACAACTCAGTGTCTAGATAATAATGCATCATAGTTATGAGCTATGGTTGGAGTATTTCATGAGCCCAAAGGAAGAATGGGAATGGAGGGAGAACGGTATTAGGAGAAACGGATGAGGAAGGATCCCTAAAGGTGGTCATGCTTTGGTTAAGTTTAGAAGATGGTGTAGACGTTGGTCATTTTAAAAGAGGGGTGTAGAGAGCATGTGCAAAGGGCCTGAGGTCAGAGAGAGAGAGCCTATCATGGTTGATGAGCTGAAAGCTGTTGGCTGGGGAGGTTCAGCAGAGATGAGCTTGGAGATGATGTGGGATGCACGTCGTGGAGGCCTCGATTGCCATGCGAGAACCTGGGCTTTATACTGGAGGTGGTGGGGATTCAATGATCACAACAGGTTAAATAGGAGAGTGTGACAAGGTTTTGAACTACAAAGAATGCATTTTAGAAAACTGACTTCACTGTAGCAGTGTGGAGGTTGGATTAAAGAAGGGTGGGGCAGAACTAGATCAGGGAGCCCACCTACGAATATTGCAGTAATATGGGTGGGAAGTCGGAGCAGTAGGAGTGGAGAAATGAGTTGACTTAAAAGATGTTGGGAGGTTGCAAAACCAGTTTGAGGACCAGTGGCTGCACAGTGGTGGAGCCTAGACTTGGGTTGAAGTTGATCTTTTCAGTGCTGTCACACAAGCCCAACACAGAATTTCATACCACCAGCGAAGTTGTACTGTTTTCAGTGCTAAAAAGCTATGTATAAACTGGCTTTGGGAACTTTCTTCAATTGAAAATGTTTCGATGGTGTTTATCTATGGGTTTTCGAGAGAGATTGAGAGGCTGCCTTCTGTGCAGAGGAGGCTCAGGCTACCCTGCCCACATCGCATGCCTAGTGCTCGCTTAAGATCTCAAACATGGAGCCTGTGCATTTTCTGCCTAATTACTAATTCTGCAGCGTGAAGCATGATGTGAAGGTTTCATCTTCTAATATGTTCCAAAACTGACATTGTTGCAAGTAACTTTTCCCCCTTTTTGAGCAAATGTCCATTGTGCTAGGATAGCCTTTTCTTGGGATAGGACATTGCCAGAATCTCTCTCTTCCTGTGAGAACTCAGACCATTGTCAACTTTTTGCAGGAGGATGCTGAGGTGACCAAAGCTTTCGAAGAAGATATAGAGACCCCACCAACACGAAACATTCCTTCTCCTGGACAGCTGGACCCCGACACACGGATCCCTGTTATAAATCTCGAAGATGGGACGAGGCTGGTGGGGGATGACGCCCCTAAAAATAAGGACTTGGTTGAATGGCTGAAGCTGCACCCTGCTTACACTGTTGATATGCCAAGTTACGTACCAGTAAGTGTTACGGAGCTTGGAGTGGGAGGGATCTCGCCAGCACGGTCCATTTTGTTCTCTTGTTCAACATAGAAACCCCTGGTCCCTCTGCTCTTAGCTTGAATGTCTTCTCATCGTGATCATTTCCCAGTTTTTGTCATTATATGATTCTACATTAGAGAAACTAGCTTTCAGGTCTGTCCCACGGGAAGGGCAGCCTTGCAGTTATTTGAAGACACCTATCACGCCTTTTCTTTCTTTCACCATCTCTCACCAACCAGGCACGAGTTCTCCAATTATTCTCTGCCTGGCGTGGTTTCCAGGTGGTCTCGTTATTGGGCTAACACTCAGGAATGCACTTGAATTGGTCTCCAGCCCAGGTCTGATCCACTCAGAATGCTGTGAAGATACTACTTGCAGAGATGTGACCAGCTAATGCAGCCTACGACTTCATTAGCTGCTTTTTTAAGCAACTTACTAGTAGTTATGTCTGAGATGAACTCAGACCTCATCATCTTCATCCTCTAATGCCAAAGATAGTGCTTACGTAGTGTTTACATCTTCAAACGCCCATGTAACAAGCTGATACCTGGCCGCTCCGCCTGTCTAAATGGTTGGGAAGGAAGATTTTTCACATAAACTGTTGACTAGCCAGTGACGCAAATCTGTTACTTCCACGCTTATGTGATTGATTTTTAAACACTTCAGTGTAGGATTTTGCTGAATTCAGCATGAGTTGAGTTCCTGCCACTCAGAACAGCCCTCCTGCAGGTCCTTGTGTCCCTCGCTTGGTTCTCCTCATGTACAGTCCTGTCACAGATGTGATAGCACCTCTGCATCCATTCCCACCACTGCATAGAAATCAGAGAAAGTTCCTTTAAAAATACCATGACTTAGTAAAACATTTGAAGAAGAGACTCTACTAAAGCGGCATTATTGATAGATAAAAGGCAAAGCAGATTCTCAGCTTATGTGTTTGTTTAGTGCCTTAATGTACAGAGTGGAAAATAGGAGGACTTTTTCCTTTCAAAGAGAAGTATGGTTTCTAGTAATTCAAATAATTCTTGAAGCTTCCATAATAATTGAAGATGACTTGATTGTTTGTTATTTATACAGGAAAAAAATAAGTGTTAAATGCAATTTTACTAAAGACATTTGTTTTTGTTTTTTTTGCAGAAGAATGCGGATGTGCTGTTTTCCTCATTTCAGAAACCGAAACAGAAACGACATAGATGTCGAAACCCTAACAAATTGGATATAAACACTTTGACAGGAGAGGAAAGGGTGCCCGTTGTCAACAAACGAAATGGAAAGAAGGTAAGTGTGGGAAGGGGACTCGTTCTCTGTGATTTCTTATCCCAGAAAGAAATGTTTTAGCCTGAGATCTTTTTATTAAAAAAAAAAAATCACATTTCTTTCAGAGTATATGTGTGTATGGTATGTGTGTGCATATGTGGAGAGAGAGAGAGACGGGCGGGGAGAGGGCAGGACTTACGTTTCCCATGCCTCTCCCCAGATGGGCGGAGCGATGGCACCTCCCATGAAGGATCTGCCCAGGTGGCTGGAAGAAAACCCCGAGTTTGCAGTTGCTCCCGACTGGACTGACATCGTTAAACAGTCTGTAAGTACAAGCTCTGCGTGTCGGCATCTCAGCACAACCGCTTTCCTGAATTTTTCTTTATTTTCTGTTGGTCCTTAACAGAAAGACATAAAAGAATAGCTTAAAAGAATTGACATAATACATCATTTTCACATCTCATAAACACATCGTGTCTTGTGTCTACATCATTAATCCGAAGTGTGTTAACTAAACAGCTCTGGCTTAAGAGGATTGTGTGGAAATGCACGTTCACAGTCTGGGAGGTGAGCTGCCTCTAGGAGGGATGCCCCAGGTAGACCCAGCAGCAGTCCACCTGTGGAGCGGAGTTCATGGTGGTTGAGTGGATGAAGATTAATTGTGATTTCTGATACTAAAATAAACCAGCGATTTTAAACCTTTTTCATCTCATGGCACACATAGAGTAGTAATTACTAAAATTCTGCAGCACACCAAAAAATATATTTTTTAGCAGATCTGACAAAAGAAATAGGTATAATTTTTATTTATTTACCAAAAATAGCAATTACTCTTTTTCTCCAAGGTAACTTTTAAAAAAAATCAGGTGCCTACACTTCTATGTCAGGATTTTTGGTACCAAGAATTAACCAATCACAGGCAACCTTATTATGCGACATGACCAATAAGATACAACTCTATTATATGACTTATATATGTACTAGAGGCCCGATGCATGAAATTCGTGCAAGAGACTCGGCCCTCCCAGCCCTGGCTTTGTCTTGGAAGGTCGTCCGGAAGGTCGTCCAGAAGGTCATCCAGAAGATCATCTGGCTGTCTGATCTAATTAGCATTTTACGCTTTTATTATAGATAGTTCTAGACAGGGCATTCACACCGGACGGCTATTGTTGTGTTGGCTTGTGTCAGTTTTTGATTTGATAGTCTATGGGAAAAAAGGTCAGTGCCCTGACTAAGTAGTCAGGTATTACATGTTTTAAAAATTCTTGCAGCACACTGTTGAAAATCCCTAAAGTAAACAAATAAAAAATACAACAATTCTGAGTTTTCTTCACTATTAGTTTCTTTTTAAAATTAATGTGTTAATGATGTCTTGATTCTTTTTTGTTTGTTTGTTTTGAAGTATACAGCAAAGCAGTGTATCTTTCTTTTGGTGTCTAGTAATATTAGTCCTAAACATGGATGGCCTGTGAACTGCCACCATAATCGCAATGCAGACGGTTCCAGAATCCCTGGTGTTCCTCTCTCACACCTCTGGCCCCTGACAGCGGCTGATCTGTTCTCCATCCCCAGAGTTCTGTTTTTCTGAGGATGTCATGAACAGGAGCATAAAGTGTGTAATCTTTTGTTTCACTTGCATTGAGATTCAGTCAGAAGTTTGTTCCTTCGCGTTTCTGAGCAGCCCTCCGTTCTGGGTGCGACAGGTTGCCGTTGACCTCACTCCAGAGTAGCCTTCGACAGTTTTTGTGCAGCTCAGCCCAATTCCGTGAGCCAATGTGATGCTAAAATACAGAGATTTTGCTGTCCTAATTTTTACCATTTGAGCTTTGAGAGTGGAAATAATCGCTTGTGTATTTCCGTTCAGAACGTCAGGTTTCAGGTCATCAGAGGCCCCATTGAAAGTAAGTGTTCTTCAGCAGCTTCTGCAGCCACTGTTTGCCTCTCCATTTCCTCCAGGGTTTTGTTCCCGAGTCGATGTTTGACCGTCTTCTCACTGGACCTGTGGTGAGGGGAGAAGGAGCGAGCCGACGAGGAAGAAGGCCCAAGAGCGAAATCGCCAGAGTGGCCGCCGCTGCCGCCGTGGCCTCCACGTCGGGAATCAACCCTCTGCTGGTGAACAGCCTGTTTTCGGGGATGGACCTCACGAGCCTTCAGAACCTCCAGAGCCTCCAGTCTCTCCAGCTGGCGGGGCTCATGGGCTTCCCTCCCGGACTGGCCACAGCTGCCGCGGCCGGAGGCGACGCCAAGAACCCTGCGGCCGTGCTGCCCCTGATGCTGCCGGGCATGGCGGGCCTGCCCAACATGTTCGGCCTGGGCGGGCTGCTCAACAGCCCCCTGTCCACTGCTGCTGGGAACACCACTACTGCGTCCAGTCAGGGAGACCCGGACGACGGCACTTCCAAGGGGGAGGAGAAGGGCAACGAGAACGAGGAGGAGAGCAAAGACCCCGAGAAAAGCACAGACGCTGTTTCGGCTACTGACTCTGCGAATGGTCCCGTTGGTGCTGCTACTGCCTCGACCGGATTGCCCTCCAACCCGCTCGCCTTCAACCCTTTCCTCCTGTCCACCATGGCCCCAGGCCTCTTCTACCCTTCCATGTTTCTACCTCCGGGGCTGGGAGGATTGACGCTGCCCGGGTTCCCCGCGCTGGCAGGACTGCAGAACACCGTGGGCTCGGGCACGGAGAAGGGCCCCGACAAGGCCGAGGGGGCGGCCTTTCAGGAAGAGGAGCACCTCGAGGGCAGCGACGCCGAGGAGAACCTGGACAAGACGGCGGAGTCCTCCGTCCTCGAAGACGAAATAGCACAGGGTGAAGAGCTGGACTCGCTGGATGGCGGGGAGGAACTAGAAAACAATGAGAATGACGAGTAACCAGTCCCAGTTCCCGTTCAAGTGTTTAAAACTTTTGACAAGTGGTAGTCCTACTGTTTACACTCACAGTTAATGTTCATACCTAGTTTTATAAGCTGTTCTGTAACATAGTGTAGCAAAAAGAAAAGAAAAGAAGAAAAAAAGTCCAAGTCATGTTATACAGGTGTGTCAAAAGGTATCTTGGTCCTTAAGTATTGTGCAGTGCATTATTTATTACCCCTAGGAGAGATGAAATTTGAGAGGTGATCATGTCTTTTTAAGGAAAACTTACATAATGCTCTGCTTCGTTTCCTCTTCGTTTGGTACCATTGGTATTATAATAAAGAGCAATTTGTAACGGGGCGGCACTCATGGAAGGACGCGCCGCTCGAAGGAAGTATGAAGTTATATATTTAATTTTTTTAATTTTAATTTCGTTGCTGTGAAGGTCAAGATGAAATTTACCGTACATATCATCCTTGCTCATTGGTTTCCCTTTCTGACTGTCTGGGGTGCCCACACTCGTGCATACACACACACACACATCCGTACACTCTGACAATCTCCACGTTAGTGTGAACGTCTCCGTCCAGAGGCGCAGCAATAATAAGGCAGCTGTTGAATGTGAAGGGTCCCTTTGGAAATTAACCTACTGGGAGGGTTCTCGCCAGATAGAACTACAGTTCCATTGTCTCGTGGTCTTGTAATGCACTGGTATAAACAAAATAAATAGATGAATAAATAAAAGAGTGAGAGACTAGAGAATCAGGTACCTTTTTTTTTAAATTAAAGGACTTTGTTACTTTAGCCACAAAGCTAAAACAGCATTACCTCAGCTCTAAACTAGCCTTGAAGTTTACAGACATGACTTTGTAAATGTATTGTTTTTCTTTGTTGTGATGTCCTTTTATTTTTTCCTTTGAAAACTGCTATCATGTAAGATAAACTGTAAATTGCTGCCAACTGTAGTAATGATGCTTTTAATAAAAGTGACCCATGATATGCAGAAATGTAATTATAGGATGTAGTGTGTAGGGGAACTGGTGTTGGCTCTATTTTTTGTCTTCGCAATAGATGCAAATACAGCATTCTGGCCTTTGTACAGTTTCTTGATATATCCTCTTCTGCTAGATCAGCTGTTAGTGAGGCGCTAACCCGGTTGTCTTCAGACTAGACAGGAAGAGAAGCCTTAAATTACCTGCACATAATTCCACTCCAGATATCTCCGCAGAACCACACACAAAACCCTCCTATTACTCCCTCCAAAGGGCATCTGCGACTGAGGATACTTAAAAATGTGTGCGGCGTCTGATAATGTGGTACACCGCCGAACAAAAGGGCACGAGAAAAATGAGGCTTTAATAGGCACAATATCTAGGTCATTTATCCTTGGTTAATGGGCAGAAAAACACAATGCCGGAGTGTCAGCAAGGGACACAAAGGCGCGGTGGTGCCCCGAGGACCAGTGCCGGCTGCCAGGAGCTGTGGAGAGCCCAGGCGGGGTGACAAGGGACCCACTTCAGCAAGCATGCCAAGTGCACACGCACGCACAGACTCCAGAGCGGCGGATCCGTGCCCCCCTCCGTGACCTTTGATATTTGAGGTAAAGTCTAATTTGAGAGCTACTGTTTTTACCTTGTCATGTCACCCGACCAAACACAAAGCCCTATTTCCACGCAGTAAAAAGGGAGAAGAGCGGAGTCTGCAGTCCTGTGACTGTCGCCACCTCCTCACCTTAGACCAGCAGTTCTCAACCTGTGGGTCGTGACCCCTTTGGGGGTCGAACAATGCTTTCACGGGGGTCGCCTAAGACCATCGGAAAACACATATATAATTACATATTGTTTTGTCATTAATCACTATGCTTTAACTATGTTCAATTTGTAACAATGAAATTGGGGGTCACCACAACATGAGGAACTATATTAAAGGGTCGAGGCATTAGGAAGGTTGAGAACCACTGCTTTAGACAATGGGATTTGCTTAATTTATATCCCAAGATGAAACATACCCATTATGAGGTGGAGAAGGACCAAGCGGAAACCTCCACCCAGAGGTCCTGGGCTTGCTTCTGCCCTCACTCCTGCTACTGCTGGAAAGTTAACAACTGGGTGGTGTGCACTGGAGCCAAGTGCCTTGAAGAGAACACTCTCCGAAATGGGGTTCTTTGAACATGGAAAGTAAAGCTGGATCTGCATGGAGCACAGAGAATTTAAATGTTTAAATAACTGATATTTTTTTTAAGCCTTAAAATAAGACCTAGAATGACTTTTGTTTAATGAAATGAATCATAAAAGGGTCTTTTTATACAATTCTTTAGAGCCGGAAGTTTTCCTGTGACCTTGTGTAAGTAGAGCCTAGTGATGGCGAACCTTTTGAACTCGGCGTGTCAGCATTTTGAAAAACCCTAACATAACTCTGGTGCCGTGTCACATATAGAAATTTTTTGATATTTGCAACCATAGTAAAACAAAGATTTTTATTTTTGATATTTATTTTATATATTTAAATGCCATTTAACAGAAAAATCAACCAAAAAAATGAGTACGGGTGTCATAGGTTCGCCATCACTGGCCTAGGATGTGACTGGTTAGGAGAACATGCTAAGAGCAATGATGGTCTTCAAAGCAAAGGCATCAGCAGCTGTGGCCAGAGGAACCCTGGGTAGGTAGCCAACCACTAGCTCTGGGTTTTCTGGAATTCACCTGTTGACACGTTCAGTTTTCGACATTGGAAAATGCTTTTTTTCTTTTTTTTCTTGATGGAATTTATTAATATTAGGTCTTGAGTTGACCTAAGTGAGAAATATTTTAAATGCCATCTGTTACCAAGAGGCGTTCATTGTGTGCTTCGTGTGAATTAAGCACTGAGGTGCTGAGTGAGTTCCATGCACTTCTTCATCGTCTCTGTGAGGGAGATGCAGGTTTTCCAGAGGAGACAGCCCTGGGAGTTTAAGGAACTGGCCCCAAGAAATACAGCAGCTGCATTTGGACCTGGCAGCCCTGCTTTAGAGCTTCTTTGCTCTCCTGCGTTACTACACTCTCAGGTCTCTGCAAGAAAATCATCATGATGATGAGCTAAAGTGTCTGGGGCTTCTGTATTTTTACGTTTTCCCCACAAACCCCTCTGTGAGGAACCTTAAGTTTGGGGTTGAGAATGAAGAGCAAGTCTACAGGAAGTAGAGCCTGGGATAGTGAGCGCTAAGGAAACAAGTCTCAGTTACTCATTTAAATCTGGATTCATCTTGCCCTATGAGTTTTTCTATTTTTTATAAAGAAATCGTTTTTATAGAAGGTGAACATACTTAAGCTGTAGAGCTAGTAAATGGCAAACCTGATATTGGAACCCAGATTGATCCAACTTCAAAGCCCAGGCCCTTGGCCGGTGCACTAGTATAACTAACATTCTTCACAACATTGGGTGTTAGATGCCGATTTAGCGGCAAGAACACAGCAATGAAAGCAAAGACAGACGAGTCCCCTGCTGTCATGGAGCTTACATTGTAGGAAGAAGAGACATGATACCCATTACCAATAAACTTTTTGTAGATCAAGGAACATATTAAATAGGGTCATCAGCTGGTCAGGGAGGAGCTCTCGAAAGAGTAGACGCTTTGCTTACGTGTGAGTGATGAGAAGCAGGCACCAGACAAGAGCTTATTGGAGAATGTTCCAGGCAAAGGGAACAGCCAACGCCATGGTGATCGTGAATTGAGAGCGAGCTTGGAAGACAAGGGGGGACGGGGAACCTGTCTGCCTAGAAGAGGGAGGAGACAGGGACCAGGATGGCCTTGGTGGAGGGTTTGTTTGGTCTTTGGAAGGATTAATGCAGGAAAGTGACCTAATCCTATTCAGCGGTTCTCAACCTGTGGGTTGCAACCCCTGAAAATACATCCTGCATAGCAGATATTTACATTACGATTCATAACAGTAGCAAAATTACAGTTATGAAGTAGCAACAAAAATAATTTTATGGTTGGGGGTCACCACAACATGAGGAACTGTATTAAAGGGTCGCGGCATTAGGAAGGTTGAGAACCACTGCTAGATGTTAAAGAGGTAGAGCCTCCCATTTAAATTACCTGAATAATTTGTATTAACTCCTCAGGATTACTCCTACTGAAATGTACCTAGAGTAAAACCAAGAGATGAAGAGTTTCACTATGCTTTTAAATAATAAATAATCCCATGATTCGTGTTACAAGATACTGGGAAGAGAAAAATGTTCCTTACATGCCCTGTTCCAAAATTATCTTTTCAGTTCAATGAAAATTACTTGCTAATTATGTTTGGGAAGAGTTTTAAGAAACTTATTTCTAACAGGTAGCGGAGGTAAGACTGTATATGTGCATTGCTGAAGTGATGTGTGTGTGAGCATCGCCGTGTCTCCAGAGCCATCGATAAATTTAAATTAGGAAGCAAAACAATGCAAATGACCTCCACTAACAAGCACTTAAAAGTATAGAATATATCTAACTCGTTCGACTCGGCTCTCTAATGAGCAATTGTCTGTATTTTCTTAGCACGGATAAGATTTACCACAGTTTTGTAGACATTTTATAGTAAACTACATTTGGCAAAATAGATGAGTAAATTAACTTCTGGATTACTTAGTTGAATGTAAGACTCCGGTCACAAAGTATGTCATCACTGACTATTGGGAGAGTCACCCAATTTGGAGTTTTTCTGGTAGGAGTTAGGATGGGGATTTTCACAGTATTTTGAACTATTTTCACAATATTTTTGTGTAAGGTTTCTGCTCAACTTTCCTGTTGCTGCTCCCGTTCTTAATGGAGTCTCTAAACCAACACAAAAACCTCCTTGTGTGCCTGTGTGGCAGTGTGGCTCCGCCTCCTCGGGGGTCTGTTGGTCTGTGGACCTGATTTTGGATCTACTCACATAGAGTTGAATTTTAATTTGTGTCTCCTTAATCAATGAATGTTTACCATGTAATTTAAATAAATTGAACAGGGCAACAACCATTAAAATTTCAAATATCCTTTCACCTGGTATCTTTATCTTCAGAACAATGTATTCTTATAATTTGTGTAGGTCCTAAGCTGTGATGAAATTTTCATCATTGAACAGTCAGAGATGGCAGACTTGGTCTCTAGATGCTTACAGACGTGATAGTGTAGTGGCGCCTCCCTCCCTCTGTAGGGTCCTTCCTGCGAACCTTTCTTACAAGGTCTTGACTGGACCCCAGGATAAATTTGTCCTGGTGAATTTTAAGCTCTAGCTAAAGGACAGCATAATCAATTTCTACTGTATAATAAAGAGAAACAAACACTACGTCAAAATAATTGTTCGGGAATCACTGACTACTTGAGGTGGCTTCCTCCATTGTCCCTTGCCCAGCTCTGCAGTTTGATCTGAAAGCTCGATTTCAAAATTACAAGTGAGAGAAACCCGATTCTTTGGTGTGCCTGGGGCCAGGTAGCACAGTGGCTTCGTATCCTGTGCAACCCAAAACCATCTCCATTGCCGGTCGCAGCTCAAGAGACCTTCCTGCCCAGCATGTTTCACCACGTTTCCTTCGGAGTCAGGAAGCTCTTCACATCTTAGAGGTCAGCATTCTTGTTTGTTAATAGGCACTGGGGAGTGAATCCACGCCACACCCCAGTATTCTTGCCACCACCCCGCAGTGAGGCAGTGTCACTTGCCCAGGGCCCAGTGGTGAGACAAGTGTGGAGGAGAGAACGAAGACGTAGAGTTGTCCGGTGGGGGCTGTGTGCAGCTGTGACTATGTGTCTAACGTAGAAACCTACCATTCACATTAATTCAGATCTACATACCGTCTTAAGCAACCCCCCCCCCCAAACCTAAAATAGAATAAGCTACAAACTCTTTTAATAACAACTGATGTGATGATCTGAGGGAGAACAAACCAGAAGGTTCCAGAATCTCATGCTACAAGAAAAAAGTACTAGTGAAGGATAACTGAAAGATGTTCAAGTTCCAAAAAAAAAAAAAAAGTAAGCAATTAGGAGCACGCTTTCCTCCATCCACGGTGATTTTATGACATCACCTCTGCACCTGGTCATCTACTGGTAAGTGCCTGTGTGTGGCACCGGAGCCTATGCTGGAGGATTTGGCTGGTG